GATTCTCTGTCTGTGCCCTGGTCCAACGCCGCGGGAGTTTCCTCCTACTCCGCACGGGGCACTCCCTGGACAAGACGAGTGGACCCCAACAGTGCAAATCAGGGATACATGTTCCAACGCGGGGGTCCCGCGCGACGGATGCTATTGAACAGGAGCAGTTCGACGGATGAGCAGAGCAATGCAGTGCAACGGCAGTGCCATTACTGACATTTGAACGCAGAGCACCGCGCCGACTGCCAGTCAGACGGCTTTCCGATCGCTTCCCCCGGGCAGTTCCGCGCGATTTACCTGCGCCAGGTTTGAGAAGGAGTTCAGTTGCAATGCGGTCTAAGGAAAGTCAACGCAATGCACTGCATGAGGGATGCAATGCAACGCACTTGTAGTATACTCAATCCGATGCAATGGCCTGCAATGCAATGCAATGCGATTACCGAACTTCCATGTGTTGCAATATCCTTTCATGAGCAGTGCGGAGACGGGCCTGCGAGAACGCGGGAACATGAGAGGCGAAGCACACAGCGATACGTCAGCCGAAAAGCGCAGAGCAGCGCAAGTCAACGCAATGCAATGCGTAAGGGATGCAATGCAATGCACTGGTACGCAACGCAATCCGAGGTACGTAACACAATCCGATGCAATGGGTCGCAATGCAATGCAATGCAATCACCACATTTCCATGTGTCGCATTATCCTTTCAGAGGAATGGGGCCGCAACATACTATTTCAGACTTTGCCTTATCGTCAACGCTTCCACCAATTCCACTTCTGTCGTTTACGTCTGGAGCCGGTCAGACGGTACTCAACGGAGAAGGCTTCCAAGCGAACGCAGCTACGATGACCACTAGAACGAACATCCTATCACAAAGAATCCTTGGACCGCCCCCCAGACCTGAGAAGCTCTACAATACTGATTCTATCGATGCAACAGCATAGAGATCCTAAGATGTCTCAAGCGGCACTGGCTCGACCACCACGTGCATGCCATCTCTGAGCCCTTGGTTGGCACCATGTTTCCATTGAAACTGGCTGCCCCGCTTCAAGCAAAGCACATCCGAGTGCAGAGTTGCGAGAGATTCAGGCGAGACTGGCCAGACTACCTGTCGTGCAGAATCTATGCACCCATGGGTGCGAGGATGTCTCAGGCAAAAGGCGACGCTGGGTAGACCACTTCAAGTAGAGTCATCTGTACGACCAGAATTGCGAAGACATCTCAGGCGAAGCTGGCCGGACCACTTCGTCTCTGCGCTCTCGTCATCCTCGCCCCACTCGTTCTCTTTCTACTAACCCTCCCTCTCCTGATTACCACCCACCTGCTCTTCACACTCCTGATTCACGTTCCTCACTCTCCCTCGTTGGATCCTCGCTCTGCTCCACACCCTTGGAAACCAACCAGGACAACTCTTGGAAGACGTTAACAAATCAACGACCCGACTCACAGCGGTACCCCCTCTACGCATTCCATTTTGTGAGTGAAGCGATGCTGCTACATTTTTGCGGCTCGGAGCCGAAGGCAGCCATCACCGCCCGACGCCACCAGCGAGTAAGACTGGCAAGTGGCTGCCATGACGCACCTGGGAACCCGGGGCGCTCACCGCCTCAATGAAGAGTGTATCCCTGATATAATGCGAGCGCAAGAGAAATAACAGGAAAGTCGTGATCCAGCGTGCCTTTGCGGTTCGCACCGGAGACGCCGATCGCACAGCCAAGCTACGACAAGTGCTTCTAGTCCCCCCTCCTTCCCTCCTCCTCTTCCTCCTCCTCCTTCCCCTCCCCCCCCCCTCCTCTTTCCCTTCCCTCCCCCTCCCTCCCCCTCCTTCCCTCTACCGCCCCCTCCCTCGACTCACCAAGCAGGCGCACCATGGGCACTCCTCACGGAGATCACTATACTGCATTGCCGGTCGCTGGCAGCAAACTCAGAGGAGAGCCAGTTAAAACAACGGCGGTGGGACAACGCCGTCCCAAATCCGCTCAAAATCGGCCCTTGTACACCTCCCGTGCTCGAAGCGCGTGCGTTTTCCGAACATCGCCCATCCGTGGCGACGAAGGGACCCCCCAGCAACCAAAACGGCGATCCTTGTCTTATCTGGCCCTCCTCCGAGAGACTGCCCTTACAAGAGCACTTTCAAACGACATTAGCAAAAGACGGTCGCGCAGGGACGCCGCGCGCCGCTCGGCGGACTGCTGCCCACGGAGCGCGCCACCCCACACGAGGTTTGCGCAACACTGGACCGACCCCAGACATGACATCCGCCGATCTGATTTTTCTAATACCTCGAAACTCCCACGATCGAAGCTTCGTGGCCTTCGGAGGCCCTCCTCGTCGCCACGGCCGGATGCAGCTCCAGAGTATCACGTGACGGGTGCTCCCGTCTATGCGTTCCAGTTTGTGAATGAAGCGATGCTGCTGCAATTGTGCGACACAGAACAGAAGGAAGCTATCACCGCCCGACGCCACCAGCGGGTAAGACCTGCTTCGCACCAGAGACGCCGATCGCACAGCCAGGCTACGACAAGTGCTTCTGGTCCCTCCTCCCTCCCTCCTCATCTTCCTCCACCTCCTCCTCCTCCTCCGTCCCCTTCTTCTCCTTCCCTTCCCTCCCCCTCCCCCCCTCTCCTCCCCTCTACCGCTCCCTCCATCGACTGACCAAGCAGGCACACCATGGGCACTCCTCACGGAGATCACTCTGCTGCATTGCCAGTCGCTGGCAGCAGACTCAGAGGAGAGCCAGTTAAAACAACGGCGGTGAGACAACGCCGTCCCAAATCAGCTCAAAATCGGCCCTTGTACACCTCCCGTGCTCGAAACGCGTGCGTTTTCCGAACATCGCCCATCCGTGGCGACGAAGGGACCCCCCAGCAACCAAAACGACGACCCTTGTCTTATCTGGCCCTCCTCCGAGAGACTGCCCTTACAGGTGCACTTTCAAAAGGCATTGGCATTGGCAAAACTTTCAGACATGCGACTCACACGGTAAGAAATCTAGGACTGCCGGCTGCACTTCTTTGAGCCAACTCTGTCCTAACTCCATTCTGCAATTACCTCCTGTCCGAACGAGGTCAGATACCACCAGCTACTAGAACCATGATCCCAATTCATGTACATGGCCCGCGTGCTCACAAGACCAGCCCATCATCCGCAACCAGTTGTCGGGGCTGTGGATATCTGCCTCGCGGGGCGTCGTCGTCGTCGTCGTCGCCGTCATCATGGCCAGCTCTGGCCGGAGACCTGCATTTGACTCTAAAAAAATGCGTCCGAGATGGCACCATATGGTTCCAATAGCGCCTCAGAAATCTCAAGATGATTTCCAACATGGTTTAAATAACGGGTAACGCGACGGCCTCTGGAGGCCGAGAACGGCAACAAACAACTCAGAATTGAAAGCATGACGACGTCGGAGCTCTCAGTCTGACGTCACATCTCAAAAAACAGACCCATCCAGGGATGTGTTTTCAACAGAATTTCAACACGGACCCAGCCGTTGCGGCGAGAACACCCCAGGAAGGCCGTCGGACCATCTTCGAAGTATGGGACTGTCGGCAATCGATCCTGAGTGAAACACTGTGCCATAGGAAACGTGCCAGAAGTCTGAAGACATATGTAGAGCGGATTTCATCGATGTCGAAGGAAGGGGTGGTGCCAATATTGGAACCCCGATCCTCGAAGATCGAAGTTGCAAGCTTTCTTCCCATCTAGGGGCCCTCCTCGTCGCCGCGACTGGGCGCGCGTCGAAAAACTGGAGCGCGGGGCAACCCCTGAGACCCTCGAGCGAAAAGTACCCCGAGAATGTCCCGGAGAAGTCACGGTCGGCCCGACTCGGATATGGATTTCGTCCTGAGAGCCGCGCCTCGAAGCCCTCCGATCTCAGCCGTGCATCCAGACCCCCGCACTGGACTCGAAAAATGGATGATCCAAGATGACCGAATATGGTTCCAGGATGATTCCAAGATGCCAAGAGGCGTCAAGATGACTCCATGATGGCGTCAAGATGACTCCAAGATGGCCCACGCGAGCCCCAAGACAGGCCCAAGAGGGCCCCAATAGCGCCCAGACAGCACCAGCAGCACAAGACCCAGCAACACCAGCAGCAGCAGTACCAGCAGCAACAGTACCAGCGGCAACAGACAACACCTGCAGCAGCACCCGCACCCTTCGCTACCAGATCTCCCAATTCATCGTTGGTGCCCGCGCTGTTTCTCAATGTGCGCCTCTTCCTCTTTCTGCAGTCAGCTCTCCTGGGCATTGTTCCTGGATGGACTGGTAGAGAACGCGAAGCGTCAAGAATTCAAACCCACCGATGCACAGAGGCAGGCAGGCGGGGTGGGAAGGGCCCAGGATGCAAACATATGTAGGGATACAGCGTCAAGTTTTTCGCCCAAGCGCAACATTGGCACTGGGATTACAGAGCCGACGGTGAAGTCCACAACTCTGAGACAGAATGCGAGCGCCTCTCGATGCATGGCGACCAGCAATGGAAACTCTGAGAAAGAATGCGAGCGCATGACCTGCACATCATTGCAGCACCAGACATTCAAGCTGGGCGGCCGCTGATCGACCGCTCGGTCTCACGTTGCATGAGTTTACAGAGCGCTGCAAAGCTGAGCGCCGAAGAGAACGCGCGCGGTGTGCCATGAGGCAGATGATCGTCCAGCGAGGCATCTGCGACGCTCGCTTCCGTGGAAAATCTCACTACAGTGCCGAAGAAACAAGATAACTGAAGACGACATCCAGAACTACTTGCGCGCCCAGAGTAGGCACTATTCGAAATGGATGGACTGTGATGCTATGCTACAGAAACACGGCGAACTCTGCACTCGGCCTGCCGTCGGAGAGCCCGAGACGAGTGAAGCACCATGGCGCGCCCGAGCCCTGGGCGATCAAAGAGGCCACCACCTCGAGCCTGCAATAGCCAACGCAACGCAGCTCCCAGCACTTGATCGCACAGGTCGCGCAAAGGCGCCAGCAACACGAGATTCTGCCATCTACAGCAACACCTAAGCCGTCACTTGATGGCGATGTCAATGGTCGGCTCCGGGACAACGTCGACCTGCGCGACGGGCATGAGAAGCGCGTCCCTGAGAAGGTACAGCATGCCCGGGGCGCTACCAATGGGCCCCCGCCCTGTCCCATGGTAGACCACGGCGCGCATGCCGTCGGCGAGCGCCCGACTGCCAGCGTTATGGCCCACGGCGCAACACTGGATGAAGGCTCCTGCAGGATCCACCAGGCAAAACGCGCGCTTCGGACTGCCAGCAGTCGTCGCGCCCATCTCCTGCACACTTGTCACGACGCCGGAGAATGTTCCCCGAAATGGTGCCTCCAACCTGTCTTTCAAGCCGAAGAAGTCGACGCAAACGCCGTGAGCCGGCACCTCGTACGCACGCCCAGGAGCCATGAAGGGAGACGACGCCGTCACGAGCGCCATTACTTTGGTCTCAGGCATGAGCGGGCTCCGCGCCGAGCTCGTGTGCAGCGCGCGGATCGGCGTCACCATGGCCCCGTTCCAGTCGCTCGGGGATAAGCTGCTCACCCGCACGTTAGTCACGCGAATGATCGGCTTCTGCTGCTGATCTGGCCGCCCGCCCCGCCTCGCTCCCGTCTGTTTGGCGGCCACTTCTGCTAAGAACTGCTTCACGGCGTCGTCCCATAAGGTCAGGATAAGAGGCCCCGTGCGGTCCATGACGAGCACGTCCATGGCCATCGTCGTCTTCTCGGGCGCGCTCGCCTTGCGCTTGGATGGCGACTTCCCGGCGTCCCCCTTTCCGACGGGCCGAGGCTTGTCGTCGTGCGCCAGCACGTACCCTTCGTACACGAAATAACCCTCCACACTGCGATCTGCATACACCGCGATGCTACCGATGTACTCTTCGGCATCGGCCCGGGGAGCCGCCGCTCGAACCTCCACCGACAAATCGCCCAACACCCCCTCGACTCCCAACTCGCCGTGGCTCAGCCTTGAGCCCTCGGTGCGTCTGACCTTGCTCGCCGGACTGGACGAAGCCCCGCCGCACACCGTCTTGAGGATCAGCGACGCCGCGAGCGTTCGCGCGCCCGAGCCAGCGGACGCGGCCGCGGGCGTCCCAGCATGCATGGACGCTGGCGCGCGCGCAGCCACCCGACCCTCCAGTACCTCCGCCGCCACGACGTAGTACGTCTCAGTCCAAAACTCCTCCGACGGCGACTTCGGCAAAAAAGCGCGCATGCTCGGGTGCAGCGCGGCAACGTGCTGCAGCCACATCTCCTCCACGCGGGCCTCCACAGCAGCGCCGTCGTCCGCAGACATGCGGTCCGCGATGGACTGGAGAGCGAAAACGTCGGCGCCCGCGACGTCCTCGGGTAGCACCTTCGGAGTAAAGGCGATCGCCCGCTTTCCAACGATCTCCGAGGCCACGACGTAGTAAGTTTCGGCCCAAAAGTCCATCGACGGGGTCGACGGCAAGAACGCGCGCATGCTGGGCAGAACCGCAGACAAGCGCTCCTGCCACAACTTCTCAACGACAGCCTCAACGGCCGCACCGTCCTCCGGAACCATGCGGTCGACGATGGCCTGGAGCACGTCGACATCACCACCTGGGACGTCCCCGGGCAACACCTTCGGAGTAAACTTCTTCTGTTGCAGTGAGCTCTGCTGCACGACTGCGCGCATGGACAAGAAGTACTCTTCATGCAGGAACCTCCTGAAGAGGTCCTGCATGCTCATCTTCGTGCACTTCGCGACCTTTTCGGCGTCGCCCCACTTGGACCACAGCTCGGCGTCCAGCGCGTCGATGAGGTCGCGAGTCATGCCGCCGACAGTCTCCGCAGCGTCCGTTCTCTTCAGCTCACAGCCAATGCTCGCCACCGCGATCACTGGCAGAAACACGTCGCCCTGGTAGCGATGGCGGAACCTCCTCTCCTCCAGTGAACGCGCGCACTGGAAGTCGTTGCACAAGTCGTAAAACTTGTCGTGCATGAACTCTGCCCGCCGCGTGTCCTCACTCACTGAAGGGTTTGCCGGCAACGTTTCGCGGTAGGTGGCCCAGTGTGCGTCGATGAACGACTGCAGCTCGACGTACTCGACTTCCAAAACTGCTTCCCAGGTCTGTGCGGCACCCGCTGCCTCTCCTGCATCCTGAAAATCGGTCGGCAGGACCGGTGGGAAAGTGCCGCGGCTGAGGCGACTCGCAATCGTCTCCACCACCACGCTGCGCTCCTCCGCGCCCGAAGGCGCTGCGTCGTCGCCCAGAACAGCCGTGAACGAGGTCTGGAACTCACCTGCGAGAGCACGCAACTCCGTCTTGGCGAGCGATTTCTCGGGGGCCCATCCGTTTTTCTGGAAGACCGCTTCGATGGCGCACTCGGACACCTCGACGCCTTCCGCCTGGAACAGCACAACCAAGCCGCTGGCCCCCGGTGACAAAATGACAGGGTTCTCCCCCCCGTCGTTGGCGGCGGCGAAGACGGAGTCCACGAACTGTTCCACTGTTGACTTGAAAACACTGGCACTAGACGCGGCAACGGCCATGGCGTGGCATGTAGAGGGAAGAGCTGGTATGGAAAAGTGATGTAGGAATGGCTGGAGCCGCGTGAAAGATACGCACTGCTATCGCTGAGGGCTGAAACGGCGATGTGAGAACATGCATGCAATGCCGCGAACGGCCAACGTGCCAATTGCGCCCGATGCAATGCACCTTCGCGGCTCTCTCTACCGTGGAGCCCTGATATGTCGCACTTGACGGCCCCCCTCGCACCCTCGAACTGTGATTTGCCCCAAGACACACCAAGATCACCCCAAGACGCGAATGATGGCCGCAAGACGAACCAACAAGCCTTCAAGACGCCCGAAGAGCTTCCCAAGCGGCGTCCCAGAAGGGCCCTCAGAGGCACACATCGTGTCAATCTATGCGTTACCAACTGAGCAGCTCAGGACATGCGGTGATGTGCACAGACAACTCTGCACTGACGAGATATGCACAGAAAACTGCAATGGTATGCACTAGTATTGCACGCGGCGGGCAAAACATGATTGCCTCCGATGATAACAACGACGAGTCGTCTGACACTGGCAACCCCGACAGAAGGCGTCGGAAGGTGCCACCTCGAGAAACATGCATAACGGATATAGGAATCAGCAGACATGTTTGCGAACTCTGAGATGCAGGCGAACTGGCACGACGGGGGCGATGATGCCGATGGCAGGAACGACGACGAGCTCAATGATGCAGAAAGCACGAAGGACGACGAGAGGACATGAGACCCTCCGTCCTCCATTCCCCGATTGCGTCGCCTGTCAGCTCTCCAGCGCGAGGTCTTTGTGGCAGGGCAGGTAGAGGTCTGCGAGCCGAGTCCCGTCGTCGTCTTTGCGGTCTTTCACCTGAGGACACGCAGGCGCGCGCACGCGGCACGCGCGCACGGTGGACCCCCCCCGCAAGGATGGCGGAACGCCGCAAGCACCGATCAGTCTCTTTGAAGCAATGAACAGGTTGTCTCGACATCCGATCACCGTGCGCGAGCTCTGGAAGAAGCTCACGAAGACGACGTTCTTGGACTTGGGGCCCTTTTCCGCTGCCTTCATCGCGACGTCCAGCCGCTTCCAGAGCGCCTGGCGGCGAAGCCGGACAAGCTGCCTCGACTGCGCCCCCCCCCAAACAATCGAGGCGCGCGATGCACTCCCCACAACGCGCGTGCCCTATCACCACAACAACAAGGACAATCTGCAAGCAACGACGACTTCACGCATAAATCTCTCTCACACTCGCGGCGGCCAGTCCTCGTCTACCACGCCGGACAGCCGCGCCACGGTCGCCTTCTGCGCCGGGTGGTCGGCAAAGGGCCGCGTCGCCTGAGCAGCGCCGCGCACTCTCCCTTTGCACGCCTCTTGGTCTACATTGCCGTCAAAAAAAACCGAGAACTCCGACCCTCTGGGATTCCCCAGGGACCCGCAAACCTTGGGGACGAAGGCGGCCCCAACCGCGCGCCCCGCGACGCGATCCCATCGCCTTCCACGCCTCGCTGGCGTTGTAGGCGCTGTTGCACAGCTCCGCCTGCCACGCCACGTGCGCGACGTGCGTCTGCACAGGAATGCTGGTGCTCTTGCCCGTCGTGCCTCTGCGCCACCGCCACCTCAGGACCCGCCGACGAAGCCGAACGAATCCTGAAGCAACCGGAGCAGCGCAGACGCACAACTGCACGGACACGCATTCCCTGCCCCTCAAAACCTTGGGCTTCCCCGGCTTGGCGTAACAGTCCAGCTTCGTAATCCACCCGAAGTATGGAAGCTTCACTGGAACAGCGTCTTTGGGCATGAGGCTCATGTACGAGCTCACCCACTCCTGCTGGCCCTCGTCCAGAAGCGCCCACTGCTCCGACGACACAGGCACTCCCGACGACCACGACGGCCCGAACCCCCGTCTTGGGGGTCCCGTCGCGGCCGCCGCGCCAGACGGCAGCGCAGACGCCGACGGGCTCTCCGAAAGCGACAGCGCGACCGGCGAGGGCGCCGACGCCGAGGAAGTCTCCGGAAGCGGACGGTCGGCGCCGATCGGCGCCACCACACGCCCGGCCGGACGCGGGGCCGACGCTGTGCCCCGCAAGACCGGAAACGCCTTCCCCGCTAGTCCCGCTGCGACCCCAGCCGACGCGGCCACAGGTTCGCCCAAGGGCGGGCGCGCGTACGGCGCTAGTGGGCCCGGTGTGAGCGGCGGCGGCAGCGCCCGGCCCGGTGGCGCCTTACGCTCTGCCACTGCGGGCGGGCGCTCGTACGGCGCACCGCGAAACGCCTGCTGGCGCTGCTTCTGGGTGCTCCCAGAACGGCCCATACCTAATGCGGAGTGGGAGGACACAACAGGGTCGTCAAATCAATGTGCTGCAATCTATGTGGTTCGGACTGTGTCGGGCGCACTCTGCGTGGCGCAACGTCTGCGGAATGGCGACACTCTATGTGGTGTGCACAATCAATGTGGCGTGCGCTATGTCACCCTCCGACGCCTTCCACGAGGTAGGGGAGACAAAGGAGGATGCAGAGGGGAGGGGGAGCAGGAAGCAGGCACAGGGAATAGGGAGAAAGAAAAGAAAGAGAGGAGGCGGTAGGAGGGAGGAGAAGAATGAGAGGGAGGAAGGGGAAATACCGACGAGCTTCGCTTATGCTGGGCCGTTCAAAATGAAGAAAATGGGGCCGCCACCCCAAGCAGCAGCAGGCCCTCGTCCACTCCATCCCCCTTATCCCCCGGGGCTCGCCATCAAGACATCATCACCGCCAATTCCCGGACCTCCCCCGAAGTCCATCCGGTGCAGATTGTCACCCTGGGTTCATTTCCGAAAGGGCCAGGGCCCGGAATAGCGCCCCTGGAGGCCAACAACTACGAAAAAACCAACAAAAAAAAAACAACTTCAACAAACCTGCGGCACTTGTCGAAGGCCTTGACGAGCAGCCTGAACGCGAGAAGGTCCTGCCCACACCCGAGTCTTCCACCTTTTTCCTCCAGCAACGTTTCATCCTCCTCCTTCCTCTCCCACCTGGGCGAGGCCGTGCCAAATGGGCGATGCATGCGGCTGCGGGTGCTCCCAGTGCGGCCGTAGGTGGTGTCCCCAAATAAGACGCGACCCTCGAAAGCGGTGCACCCAAGTGACGCTGAGAGGCTGAGGGCGACGATGTGCGATATGCCCTACTCATACACAGACCCCCCCCTACCTCCTTCCTCTATTTTATTCCTGCCTCCATCCCTCCTCTCCTGCTCATCCCCGCCCCCCCTCACTCTACACCCCGTGCACTGCAATTCTCGCTCTCCTCCCACCTCTCCCCGTCAGCTGGTCCACAGGGCACAAGCTGGCACGAACAGCGTCGCCGGGCGAGAGCAAGACAGTCGGCTTCTGGAGTCGGCTTCTGCGGCCGACTCCAGGAAGTCAATGGGCCATGCATTGGAAGGAGTGCGCTTGTGGTCCCAGCGGTTCTGATCCCTATAGTAAAACCTATATGTTTTCAGCACGGGTTTCCGGGCTGAGCATTTTTCTATCGATGGTGTTTTTTTTTTGTGTTACGATGCCGGCTCCGAGGCCGACTCCAAGAAGTCAATGGGTTATATATTGGAAGGAGTGCGCTTGTGGTCCCAGCGGGTCCGATTCCTATAGTAAAACCTATGATGTTTTCAGCAGGACATTCCAGGTTGAGCATTTTTCAATCGATTGTGTTAGTTTTTGTGTTGCGATGCCGGCTCCGAGGCCGAATCCAAAATATCAAGGGGCCATATATTGGAAGGAGTGCGCTTGTGGTCCCAGCGGGTCCGATTCCTATAGCAAAACCAGTATGTTTTCAGCACAGGTTTCCGGGTTGAGCATTTTTCAGACGGTGGTTTTTTTGTTACGATGCCGGCGCCGAGGCCGAATTCAAAAAATCAAGGGGCCATATATTGGAAGGAGTGCGCTTGTGGTCCCAGCGGGTCCGATTCCTATAGCAAAAGCAATATGTTTTCAGCACGGGTTTCTGGGTTGAGCATTTTTCAGTCGCTTGTGTTAGTTCTTGTGTGGCGATGCCGGATCCGAGGCCGAATCCAAAAGGTCAATGGGCCTTATATTGGAAGGAGTGCGCTTGTGGTCCCAGCGGTCCGATTCTTATATCAAAACCTATATATATATCCAGCACGGGTTTCCGGGTTGAGCATTTTTCAGTCGATGGTGTTTTTTTGTTGCGATGCCGGCTCCGAGGCCGAATCCAAAAGATCAATGGGCCATTTATTGGAAGGCCTAATCAACAAGCACAAAAATCTTCGGACAGCGCCACAAACCGGACCCACATGATGAAACATGTGTGTTTTGCGATAGAATTCCAAAACCGAAACACACCTTCCAATATATGATCGATTTCCATCTTGGATTCGGCCTCGGAGCCCGGGGCCCATTCACCAAAAATAAACATCTCCAAAAAGCGTCCCAAACCATAACCACATTGTGAAAACATATGTGTTGGGCTATAGAACTGAAAAACGAGAACACACGTTCCAATACATGATCGATGTACCTCTTCCATTCGGCCTCGAAGCCAGGGTCCCAATCAAAAAAAAACCCATTTCAAAAAAAAAAACGAAACACCATCGTAGAAACATGTATTGTTTTGAGTTGTGCCCTGCGTCTACACCTCCCATGTTTTTGCCAAAGGCGTCTTTCAACGCCCCGATGCCGTGAGAAAACAGAAAAAAAAGCTACATTTCTCGATCCGGGATCCTCCGACGCCTGCCCGTTCAATTTCATACCGCAAAAGATATTGTTTTGCCACACAGATTGCCCGCTCCAGCGTTTTACTGCCCCGGAAGTGGTTTTTTACAACCGAACCCTCAAAACCAAAAAAAAAATTGGCGTTAGTTTCCCCCAAGCACGGTAGCCCAGGGTATTGAAAAATATTGGCAAGACGAGGCGGATCGACTAAGTAGCACGAGCCCCGAAGGGTTCAGCTCTACTGGCGACTGGCACGAGCCCCGGAGGGTTCAGCGCCAGGAGACTGCGAGCACGAGCCCTGAAGAGTTCAGCGCTCCC